TATATGATTGTTATTGTATGTTCTTAATGTGTAACCATCTTTAAATAAAGATATTATTATTATTATTATTATTATAGGTTTTCCTTATATGTACATGTATTGAAAGAATATCTTTCAAATTCTTGTTATAAACATTATCCTTCATTGCTTTTACACAAATAAAAGTCTGTCCTCAGGTGAGCACTTTAGGACCAATGACCCCTTGTTATAATGTTCTTATGGTGAAATCTGAAGACATTTGTAATAAATACATTAAATATATGAAAACATAACAGAAAATGAAAGCGAGCGAGCGAGCAAGCCAGCCAGCCAGCCAACTAACAAACTAACTACTAACTAACTTACCAACTAACTAACACAAATGAACAAACATTTGAACAAACAAATGTACAACCAAATGAATGAATAATATTCAACTGATTACAGAAAGCCCTGATACACTTGTCTACTTTATAAAACGGACAGTAGATTGTGAAATATCAGTTCTTGTCCAAGTAGACGTAAAGTGGCGTAACATACCGAGTTTTCCGGAGTCTATGATAGAACACAGACCCATATGAACAAACACATATCATATATCCACGCTTTTAGAAAATTGGCATTTAATAACGTTATTAATATACATCAAAACAAAGCGCGCCCTTTACGACCAATAATATATTCATAAAACTTTATAGCGGCCTATCATTTCCTCACAACATATACAAAATACTGAGTTAATTATGCGATAAAACCATCATGCAATCTTACTCTGAAATATAGACATCATTAAAGGAATTTGACGGATATTACGACCAGTTAGAGGTAAAAGATTTGTTCATACAATAAAATACGATATTGTCACAGGCTGTTTAAATAACCCATCATATCCCGTAGTGACTACCGCGTCCTCGGCTATTATCTATAATATCCGAAGGCTGACGGAAATGGCCGAAAAGTTGCGATTGTACCGTATGTTTTCAAGGCTCTGTTCGTGTGTAACGCCGAATTTCATTGGACAACCGTGACGTCACGTTTATATTGCTGCAATCAACTACTATTGTACTATTTTATATGGTTGCTGTTTTGTGCCATGTCGTATTTTTGTTCCACAGGGCGCCGGACGAAAACACAAAAATACGACAAAGTGGACATTTTGGCGTGCTTTCGCTCCGCGGGGCGCAAAGACGAAAACATGACATTGCGACAAAGTCAACATTTTGTCGAATTTTCGCTCTGGAGGACAAGGGGCGCAAAGGCGAAAATCAGGACAAGACGACAAAATTACCATTTTGTGGAGCGAAAATAAGGCATGGCACAAATCAGCCACCATTATTTTATCAAAAAGAAGCTGTGCAGTATGCAGAATTTTTAACATGTTATTTTGCCGTGTATTATAAAACAGACTTGTATATTAAAACAGCTATTTACAACACAACACACGCCTTTGCGACCATTTGTACAAAACCATGTAAACGGTCAAAAATCTTTATAATTAATAATTTAAGGGGATAAAACTTTCTAGAATGGCAAACTTATTGTAGTATCTGGTGCCAGTACAGAAAACAAGAAAAGCGTTTGTAATTCAAATATTTTAAAACGATTTAAACATCGATAAGTATTTTATGTTATACATGTATTACTCGGCTGAATAGAAATGATACCACTTCACTTAAACACGAGCAGGTTTGACTTAAATGTAGGCCATTTATTTTGACCTTTACGATCTTGATATATTATATTTTTTGCTGATCTTGCGGTCAAAATAATTGGACGTTAAGGACAAGATCTGTCATGGATTTTCTGATGCGAGTTATTAGACGGCTGTTTATGATACAAATCCGAGGAAAAAATGTAATAACATACTGAAAATAACCTTTCAATAGTGTATACTTTAGAGGTCAGTACACAAAAGTTAGACATTTTAAAGGCCCACTATACACCTGAAATGTTGTTATTCTTGTTTCTAAAAAAACTTTCTATTTTAGGTGTCCTGTTTAACTTTTTGAAAATTTACTTATTGGTAATAGTAATTTCATAGTATTTTTAAATGTACAATGCAAATGTAATAGAATATTTCTGAAGTATACCATTTTTAAAAACACGCTGCTTTTTTATTTTCTTCAAAAGCAGTACAAAAATGCTTTCACACTGTCTTGGAAATTTACATCTGAAAGATATGTATAATGGCTTGACTCAATTTTGTCATCTCAGCATATTTTTCTGTTTGCCTAACCCGTTTATATTGATACAGACATCTGAGGAGTAAAGTTAAAATCAATCCATCCCGGTATGAATCCGTTTAATTTCGTCATTAAATTACCTTGTGGAACCTGTTTTATTGATCTTTGTCATATAGACGTCGCTTTTTATCCTTGTAATCTAGGTCATAGGAACGCTTATTTGATATTATACGACAACGGCAGTCACGTATTATTATCCTTTGTCGAGAAGAACAAAACTGACATAATTAATACATCCATTCTATTTTATTGTCCGTGTTTACAAATCACTATTTGTACAAACAATCCATCTGTTTCATTATAGCTCATGTTGATATAACAGGTGTGAAATGTCTCACTGATTTAGAGAGACTGTGGGTTTTTATTTGTTTAGGTCGTCAGACAAAGCAAATAATGGTAGCGAAATTTCAGACTCTGATATGCTTATTTGCAAAATCCGAAAGTAGTTCGAACTCCTCGAAGCGGTAACTTCCCTTTATAAGTACACTAACGCCGAAAAATTAAGGAGAGATCACTGCGTAAAGATTGTCAAATGACAGGCGCATTAATTTTCAAGCCTTTTCCGGGAAGAAAAAATAGTTCCCGATCTAATATTGTGTAATTCTTTACAGATATACATGCTTATATTAAGCTAGATCAGTGTTAAACAACAGGTTTACCGTGAACAAAATATCTCGAAATTAATAAGGGTTACAAAATCTAATTTAGAATCATGTGGTTTTCTTCAGACTATTATCTTATAATTTCCCCGTGGTCGAGGGGTTACACGCTCGCTTAGGAAGAGACAGGTCTTGGGATCAAATCCCAGTAAAGGCACCTTATGTTTTTTTTTAATTTTTATTTTTTTTAAAATTGTTCATGCCAAATGAACATTGAATTGTATATCAGTGTTGCAATTAGCCTTATAGCCAATTTACTACAGTTATAACACTGGAAACAGCATTGGTTGCACTATACAAAAACAAATTGGTTTATAATCTCACAACCTTCACCTTTCTGACATTCTGAGACCCAAACAAATTCAGCGCCTTCTGTGCTTTGATTTTTTTCGTAATTACTTTCGTGGCCAATTTATTTGCTAAAAAATATTATTCTCTTCAGTCATCCGTTTTTTCAAAAATAAAATACCAAAATAATTACTTAACCTTTGCCTTTCGGCGGCAACTGAAACACTCGACCAGTGCAGACCAAGATCAGCCGGCACACCCGTGACCATTCGACCCTTGTATAAACTGTTCGCTAATCAGTCAGTACATGTACTTATTTTTTTTAAAATTTTATCCAGATTTGAAGATGTGCAATTCCATTTAAGGTTCTAAGCATGAGTAGGGTTAAATCAAAGACAAGTTGATTATATTCTTTGTCTTAACCCTTTGATCTCTTGAAGTGATGTCGGATTAGAAATCTAGTTAATTACTATCAGTTAATATTAATACTTAAATAAATAGCTTATTTAATAATACTCTTTTTAAGGACAACTTACATTCTACATATTTCCATAGACTTTTAGCTTTTTCTTTCATTATATAGAAATAAAAAAACTATTATAGATCTATTAATAAATGAACACAATTATGATATCTAACTTACTTCAAATGTTTTCCATGGAATAAGAATATTTTTCTGATTATACATAAATACAAAATGCTGGGTGTATAAATCATCTAAAGAGATAAATTGGTTAATTTATGTCATAGAATTTTGGTAAAACGATTACCACAAGCTGTTCTAACGGTGCAGTCAGGTTTTAAGAAGCATCTGAAAGCGTCTCCCACCTGTTTTTTAATGTCTGCTCCCGTAGATTCCATTTCCGCTGCAGATTTTGCTTTCTTTCTTGTAAAGATGGTGCATGTGCAGTTATCAATTATATTTTGAGGAAGGCAATTATCGTGTGCAGTTTCTCGTTATAAAACATACATGTGTTTCTTATCACGTGCATTTTGGGATATTTTCTTCACTCGTTTAGATTTAAAGAGAGATGTGTTCATTTGTTAAAAGATATGTGTTCATTTGTTTAGAGATATGAGTTCATTTGTAAACAGAAAAATGTTTACTTGTGAAGAAAGAAATATTAATTTGTTTAGAGATACGTGTTCATTTGCTTAGGATTATATGCTAACATATTTAGATTTATTTTCATATGTTTAAAGCTATGTATGTCATTGTAAAGAGGGATACGCTCAGTTGTTTAGAGAGATTTAGTGATATGCTAATTTGTTAAGATATATATGTTTGTTTACGGAGATATGTTAATTGGTTTGGAGAAATTTGCTCCCTTGTTAGTGATATATGTTAATTTGTTTAGAGATAAATGTTAATTTGTTTAGAGATATATGTTAATTTGTTTAGAGATATATGTTACTTTGTTTAGAGATTTAGAATATATGTTCATTCTTTAAAAGAGATATGTTTTACTTGTTTAGAGGGATACGGAATCCTTTTTAGAGAGATATGTTTAATTATAAAGATATGTTCGTTTATTTAAGAATATACAATATTTTGTTTAGAGAGATTTGCTCACGTTTGTATAGGAAGACATGTTTACTTGTTTAGAGAGACATGTTTACTCGTTTAGAGGGTTATAGATCTTCTTTATAGAGATATGATTAATCGCTTAAAAAGACATGTTAATTTGTTAAAAAAATACGTTCATTGTTTAGTGATATATGTATAATTCTTTAGAGAGATGTATTTACTTGTTAAGATGGGTATGTCCACTTGCTCCATTTGTTTAGAGGGAGATGCGGCTATTTGTAAAGAGGGAGATACGTCCATTTGTTAAGAAAGATATTCGCCCATTTGTTTCGAGGGAGATTCGTCCATTTGTTTCGAGGGAGATTCGTCCATTTGATTAGAGTGAGATTCGTCCATTTGTTTAGAGGGAGATCTGCCCATTTTGTTAGAGGGATATGCTTCCATTTGTTTAGAGGGACATACGTCAATTTGTTTAGAGGGAGATTCGTCCATTCGTTTAGAGGGAGATGCGTCCATTTGTTTAGAGGGATATGCGTCCATTTGTTTAGAGGGAGATTCGTCCATTCGTTTAGAGGGAGATGCGTCCATTTGTTTAGAGGGAGATGCGTCCATTTGTTTAGAGAGAGATGCGTCCATTTGTTTAGAGAGAGATGCGTCCATTTGTTTAGAGGGAGATTCGTCCATTTGTTTAGAGGGAGATGCGTCCATTTGTTTAGAGGGAGATTCGTCCATTTGTTTAGAGGGAGATGCGTCCATTTGTTTAGAGGGAGATTCGTCCATTTGTTTAGAGAGAGATGCGTCCATTTGTTTAGAGGGAGATTCGTCCATTTGTTTAGAGGGAGATGCGTCCATTTGTTTAGAGGGAGATTCGTCCATTTGTTTAGAGGGAGATGCGTCCATTTGTTTAGAGGGAGATTCGTCCATTTGTTTAGAAAAACATATTTGTATTTAATATATTGATGTTTTCCCCACCTTTATTGATAATGAGAAAAAACTGCATGACTATGGCTGATTGTTTTCGCTTAATTTTTAAGTAAGAAAGAAAGGTATAAAATTTATCCTGATTATAAAATATCAAAATAAACTTTCAAATAAAAACTATTCTCTCGCGTTGCTGGTATTGTGGATAATTTTCGACTTTCTGATAAACAATCAGAATATCTATTGTCATCAGCTAACGTAAAGTAAACTCCTCTTATTACGACATTCAAGGGATGGTTAAATCCGGATATCGATATATCCGAGAGGCAAACATTTTGAAAACAGGAAATGGAAGTGTTTGATTGATATAATCGAAACCATTGAGTAGTCTGATGTTTTATTGTGACTGCATTTGAATGCATCTAAATACAGCACAACGTATACATGATGTAAGTTACACGTATATAGCACATATACAAGTACATAATCATATGATTTCAATTAAACAAGTAAGTTTTTTTTCTTCCTCATATTTATCAATTAACGTCAAACATTTTAAATTCCCGAACAGGAGTGTCATTTCACATGTCATTAAATTTTGATTTTTTGTTTCTTAATCAAAGCTGTTTAAAATGCATGAATGCATGATCACGTAAACAGAAGATATTACTCAACCCATTAATTGTTCACAAAAAAGCCTTTGTATTCAAATGATTTAGTCCGCCTATTTCCCGATGATTCGAGCGATTTATCGTAATTTTTTTAGTTATTAACTCTAAAAGCTAAATCTCTGGTTGGACATTAACGGTCATTAACGGCTCTTTCAATGTGCAAAATTTTGCTTTGAAATGAAAGATTGTGCACGGGACAGGAAAACAACAACGTTATATTCGAAATATCGCTGTATCCGATACAAGCGGAGTGTAAACATGTGAAGGACTGTGTCCGGACCGTGGCAACCGCATCGTTATAAGCGGTATATCGTTATAAGGGGTATATCGTTTTAAGCGGTATATCGTTATAAGCGGTATATCGTTATAAGCGGTATATCGTTATAAGCGGTATATCGTTGTAAGCGATATATTTACTGTATAAAGGTTGGGCAGTTATATACATGTACCTAACAAGTGATCTTCTGTTATTTGAAAGCACACACATTGTCTAACTGATTTACATTCTCGATATGCCATAGAAATAATAATACATTTGTAATATGCCAGTAGTTGAAATGCAATGGCTATATAGATAAAGGAAAGAAGAGCAGACGTTTGTTATATTGAAAATTAAAATGTTATTCAACGAAAGATAATCATTGGGACACTAATTTTCGTGGTTTTCATGAATAGACCAATACACGAATTTAAGATCCAACAAAATTTTAATTTTGTCTGCTGTAAGATTATTTTGCAATTTACTTTTTGTAAAAATACATACACGAATTAAATACCCCATTAAATACCCCACAGAAATGATTTGTTAAAGAGTTATTCCTCGAAGAATTCAAACAACACTAGATAATAAAACATTCAGGACAAAAATAATGCACAACCTTCAACAACACTTGTTTGTGCTTAAAAATTACATTTATTTTTTACTTGAACATGAGAAGACAGTTTTTTGTTTCTAAAATGTAAGCCTTTAAAAAGTATACTCTTAGCACTTATTTTAAGCATTTTGCACGTATGTTCTTATTTACATTGAATCCTAAAATAACGACAAAGCGATGCACGCGCATTGATGAGTTCATTCAATGCACTGGCTGAACCATATTGCGTTTATTTTGCGGTGTAATTTAGAAGTGTTATTTACATATTCAAATACAATTATTTCCTATTATAGCACATACCATTCTTTTGACGCCATGCTAATATTAATTAAATTATTACCAGTGTAATTGTTAATATGGTTGCCGTTTTTAAAGTCTTTTTTTTGTTGTTGTCATCATAATTTAATAATAGTTTTTTTTCCTTTGGTTATGCAATGTGGTTTCCTTTAAAATGAACTGTGAGCGCACTCTCTTGTTTTAGTAAAACCACCACCATCATCATCATCATCATCATCATCATCATCATCATCATTATTTTTATTATTATTCTTTATTATTATTATTATTATTATTATTATTATTATTATTATTATTATTATTATTATTTTTATTATTATTGAGAACATGAGAACAATAACTAATTCATATATAAGACAAAAATGTAACACTCTGCATCGTGTTTTAATCTTACAAGAAATTAAATGCGTTTTATCTTAACGCATTTAATAAACACTTTTATTAAAGAAAAAGTACACTGCACTAAGGAGTTCGTAGCATAACAGTAAACGATAAGTCAGTTCGCGAAGATTTAATAGACCTAAGACAAATAGTCCAAATATGTTTCCGTGCAAAGACACGTGACTGAAAAATTAAATATTTCAGACTCTTATAATAGCAATTGTTTCATTACAGATAAAATAAATATCATTTTGTTATTTGAATTCAGATTGCTCTCCTTTTTACAGCATGATCACAGATCAATTACGGAATTTTTCAAGACTTGCTTTGAATATATTCCAGCCAAAAAAACTAGATATCACATTTACTGCAATTTGGAATTGACTTGAAGGTCATCAATCAAATTTAAGAACGGCATATTAAATCATGTTAAAAGAAAAATGAAGTCGACCTATTTCTATAACAAATCTGTAGTTAAAAGTCTCTGAATCGACGAGATAGCAAAATATGTAAGAGAAAAAAACATAAAGTCGCTTTACGTTGCCGTTCGTATCCCTACGAGTGGAAAAATTAAGTTCAAAGAGCGATTTTCACGTGAGAGCGATATTCACGGAAACGCCGCCTCTTACACCACACAGTGACACGAGATCACCGGAAATGTACCAAAATAGGACACAAAACAGATGATACAACTTCAAAGTATTATAAATTTCTTTTGAATCTTTTCAAGCATTATTTGATCGTAACTGTCAATCGGACGAACATACGAAAGAACGAACCAACAGCCATTGTATTTTCAAGTAAGAATGACTTGAAGTGGTTTGAAGGTTTGAGCTTCTTTTGTCTTTCTTGTTATATTATCAGATGAATAGATCATTCTGAAATAAGCAAGTACTTTCAAAGCTAATTTTAGAAATATAAATAAATAAAATAAAACTAGAAACCGCCGGAAAAGGAATGGTGGGACGGAAGAAGTATTTACGACTTAACTGATGGCTTTGTAATGTTGACGCCAGTTTGTCGCAATCGTTGTAATAAGCTATTTGTATTGCGTATATACATTCGTTCATGTTGTTATATATCAATATGCTTATATTAAAGATAAGTTTAACGTTTAATTATAATCAGCTTATGTTGATTTTAATATGAAGTAGGCAAAGCATATAAACGAGGAAGTCAGATAAAATATTTTTCGTTCAATATTTCTTTGACATTTTAAAGGTGTCAATCGGTATTTCATGCACCGTTTCCGTATTTCAGCCGAAAAGTTCCGATTGTTCCGTTATCGGAATACCTCGCTGATTATCTTCGGGTTACATTGAAAATGACGGCTCCTTACTACACATGACACTGAAAATTTAACTTATAGTTATAGAAATCTATATATTTTCTAAATTGTTTTTTATTTGAAATCCTTTTAAAGATACCCGTGTAGTCTATAGCCGGGCAAGTCAAAGCCCTTGATTTTCCCTTATTAAACAATGTGATGCAAATTAATTCCTCGAATTTCCATCGCTTGTCCAATTTATTATCTCTACAACCCAGCTAAGGATAATACCTTTTATTTACATGCCGCTCTTGCTGTTGGAAATATATTTAGATATATCTTCTATCAAATAAATTTCACTACCAGGTTTCTGCGGGCATAAACCTGAATGTATTTATTTTCTTGACATTCAATACCGAAAACAATAATTTCAAAGAGATACAATATGTCGAAGCATTATTATTGACATTTATTTTGCAGCTGCAGAACATAGACTGTAGCTTTTGCAACATATCAATTATTTTGCAGTTGCTAAATACAGTGACATGTAAGTTCATTTTAATTTTAGTTTTTCATCCACTTCATACCTTAAATATAGTGTATATTCAAATCATAAAATAATAACGATACTTTTAAATTAAAGATTCAAAACTTACAGTAAAAAAAAAAACTGCAAAGGATAATAAAGAATATTCACGAAATTAAATTGATTTAATTTCCGATTTAATTGAAAAGCGTTGCAACGTTTTTTTTTAATTTTTGGGTCATTTCGCACAATATAAATGATTGTTCTAGAAAAACGGAATGAGGGAATGATTTAAAAATTTGCCTACAAGTTATTGGTCCAGACCTTCATCAAATGGTACAAAAATCTAGGAAAAATATTTCCAGTCCCGTAATGTCAAAAAACTTTAGTGAAGTCCCTTTAAACTGTAAATACAATGGTGTTGTTAAGGTTAAAGCCACATTTAATGGTACTTATTATTGTTAAAACTTTCATGAAATAAATAAACCATGTCCTTTATATACAAAAATTACAAAATGCGTATTAGTGATTTTCCATGTTTCATTACCACCAATACGGGTTAAAATGCCTTAAATCAGTTATACATGAAAAAATGACTTTTTTGCTATATGTTGAGTCCCAGCTCTTTGACTGAAAACTAAATGAATACGTCTGACTAATCTATCTTTTAAATGCTTATAAAATTCGAAGCATATAGGCCTACATAATTCATACCATGTTTAAAGTCGCGCTGCGTCTGCCACACACCGTCAGCAGGGGGATATTATAAATATATTGCACTTGTTTACCCTATATCATTATATAGACCTATACAGTTTCTGCTTTCAGTCATATGTTGATAAAATGTGGCACATCAAACAAACTTATTGAGCAGACGTCAAATAAATATATTCCTGTATCTTCATTCCATTCTGATCCAGCTGTGTTTAACATATTTAAGAGATCAACGTTCGTATTACCGTGTTTGATCAAACTTGCGGACATGG